AGAGAGAGAGAGAGAGAGGGCGGGCGGGAAACGGCTACGGAACAGGATGCGAGATCACGCGACGTGTTGCGGGAAAGGAAAAAATGGCGGGAAAGGGACCAGAAAACACTGTGCGAGGAATGCCGGAAAAGGCTTAGAAAACAGCAAGCTACATTACTCGACTGGGAAGAGATATCACCAGCTTGTTGGGGAAGAGAGGAGGCTTAGTAGAGCAAGCAAGACCTCGTCAGCTTTGACCACTGGGAGGATCCGAGGGTGTGTGAGGACCAAGGATGGGGCCAAGACTGGATGGCCATGCCGAGACAGCTTCAGCCTACAGGGGACTCGAAGGAGATTCAGATCATAGCTTCTCGTGCCGGTATGTGGGAGGGCGGGGGGGATGCGGGGGGTGGGGGAGGGGGAATCGAGCGGTATGTGGGGGTGTCAGGTTAGCCTTGGACTCCTTTGGAGAAATGATGCTCGAGTACGGGGGACAGAGGAGGACGGGCGGCGGGGAGAAAACTAGCTGGGTGCGAGAAGAAGTGATACTCCTCTTTGGAAAGATTCGAAGAGTGCGAGAACGTCCGTATAGCAGGGCACGTAGGAGGTGCAGGGGAGCGGAGTCAGGGGACCATGCGTTGTTAACGAAGGCGTGTCCATTAATCGGCCAGTTTACAGAGTGACGGTAAGAGAGAGGCTGCTGGAAATGTGCTTAGGACGCACGGACAATCAGGCGCAGGTCATGCTCCAGCCTCCTGGCGGTACCTTATCACGGCATAACAGCTTTCAGTGTCCCATTTCCACAAAAAAGACGCTTCCAGCCTTGCAGCCTTCCAGCCTTCCAGCCTTCCACTGTCGCATGTCTGTGTCATTCCCACACCTGACTCCTGCCGCACTTCAGACATACTGCGACCAGTGTGACCTGTGGAAGGTGCTTTTCTCCGGGCGACTCGAAGGAGGGACTCCGAGGGAGGTCTTTCTCTCTTCCTCTCCTCGCTCACTCCCACCTCCACAGGCTCCACCTCCACAACACGGCAGAGATGCGTGGCGAACGAACGCACCAGCGGACGCCGGACGGCCCTGAGATTGATGGATGGACGGTGTAGATCCGAAGGCCGTAATGCGTATGGGACTGATCAGTGATCATTACTCATGGGGAGGCTTCCTGGATGAGAGCACGGAGTTACGCGGCAGGTGTGGTGGTCCCCGGCCGGTTCTCTGCATCGAGTGCGCAACTTGCACGATGGCCTAGAAAGGAACGAAGGGTTCGTGAAAACCGGTGTGTCTGAGGCGGACCCGGCCATGTGGACAGATATGGCGATAAATGGTAGAATAGGCCCAACAGGTTTTCGGGGGAGTCTATTCTAACATTTAGTAAACGATATCTCTGGATGCATTTGGCTTTGATGACGGTGACATTCATGCAGGAGACCACAAGGTGCAATTGGGAGGAGGCGATACGCACCGGCGAGCAATGGGTGAGTACAAGCCCCCCCCTCTCAGCAGCAGTTGGCCTTCTCTCTGCTGTTATGGAGCCTTGTTTGTTATTCGAATTTCCAGTATATATGTATAGAAAAGGGATAAAAACTGATAAATGGATCCGTGGACGGATGAATAAGTGATTAAAATTTAAAAGGAATAAGGGCGTACTCACACTAGCACTATGTATCTGACCGCATCTACGACGGGACCTGTATGCATCTGGCCATGTCCTATGTCCAGACAAAATAAGTGGAAAAAAGTGCCAGTCTGAGTTTCTGAGTATGTCCTAAGTCTGGGCACCGATGGGCCCATGGGTCTTTCCTTTCATGCCATTACAAGTCGGGGCTAGGTCCCACTTACACGAATTAAGCGATATTGACCGTAGATAACAAAGATCAACGGCCAGAATCTCTTAATCCGTGCAAGTGGGACTTTGTTCCCGGACGGATAGACGACGGACAGCCTGTGACAGGTCGGCTTCGAGCTGCCTGACCTGCATGCTAAGTCGGCGGCGGATAGGAATCACATTTCCTCTGATTGAAAACAATGGAGAGCAGTTTGGTGACGTGTCAAGTTGTCAGCCAGTGGAGCTCATGACGACCATCACAATTAGTATCTTAGCCGCAGAGAGAGATTTCTTCGTGTCTCGTCGAGGTGGATAACGAGGCTCGCGCGCGACGAGGAGCGTTTTCGGTGTCTTCCTCACACATAAGGTTAGGCGTTTGTTCTCAGGGATGTCATTGTCCTTTTTCGCTTCGATTTCATATCGTTTGCCGTCGTCGAGCTGGGCCCTCTCTGGCATATTTTCCAGAGATCAGCCCAACTAAAGCCGAATTGTGTATATACAACTCAGATTGGAGAGCAAGAAGGGTGCAGTAATGAGAGTGTCATAAAAGTCCATGACGATCAATCCCTTGAGGAGAGTTTGTAACTCATTCGTGTTGAAAATGTTCCAAAGCAATGGGTGGGAGAGAGAGAGAGAGAGAGAGAGAGAGAGAGAGAGAGAGAGAGAGAGAGGGAGGGAGGGAGACTATTAGATACGGCCGAATTGAATGGATGGAGTGGGTAGGGGGGGAAGTCTCTCAGCTTGAGCCCAAATGCCGTCAGCCGAAATTTTGTGACTTGTTGCGATAGAGTAATCTATCGTAAGCACTCAGAGCGGAAAAGGGGGACGGAACGCAAAGAAGAGGGGCAAATGGGGTGAATAACAAAAATGAGCGGAAAAGGGGGACGAAGCGCAAAGAAAAGGGGCAAATGGGGTGCATAACAAAAATGAGCGGAAAACGGGGACGAAGCGCAAAGAAAAGGGGGAAATGGGGCGAATAACAAAAATGACACCTTTCGTGTTCCGGTGAAGAAATTTCACATCCTTTTGTTTTGTTTTGTTTTTTTTTTGGGGGGGGGGGACATCCTTTTGGTTTCCTGTTACAGGCTCCGCATCTGTGCTGCAAACGATTCCCGACGCCCGGGGCCGAGGTTCCACTAGGTAGGAGAGTCGATTGGATTGAAAGCCTGAATCCGGACGTGTTCGTGGAGAGGTGCAAAAAAACCGCGATCGATCTGCTTTTCTTTATCTCTGCATAAAAGACATCCAGATTCAGGTGCTTAATTCAATCTTTCCTTGCCGGTGGGACCTCGTTCCCTATGTTTGACTCTTTGAGAGCAAAATTCCCCAACTCTAAGGTCGAGCCTGACGACTGATGTATCGGCCTTTCAGTACCGAGCCGAGACCAAGTCCCACTAGCAGAGCGTTGATTTTCCTCAACGCCTGAATCTGGTCGTGTTTGTGGAGATGTGCAGAAATGGCGTTGAGTTTCCTCAACCGCACATCTCCACAAAAACGTCCCGATTCAGGCGTTGAGGAAAATCAACGCTGCTGCTGGGACTTGCCCCCCGAACTACTCAGTCCCTGTGCTGTTCGGGTAAAAGCGCAGCGCATTCAGTATACGGGGGCTAGGTCCCACTTACACGAAGTAAGAGATACTGACCGTAGATAGCACAGATCAACGGTCGGAATCTCGTAATACGTGCAAGTGGGACCTTGCCCCGGGTAGCTTACAGGCGCAGTACCTGGTACAAGGTCCCACTCTCACCTACTACCTTCTTCACCCCAATAGAACGCTCGGTCATTTCTTGCTGTATATAGACTGAAACATGCTCCAAATACAGCTATAATGACAGCACCTTGTACTCGGGTGACCGAAGTAAGGAGTCTAGGAGATGACGGCCGTGGATAATGAAGATCGACGGCCAGCATCTCTTGAACCGCCACACCTTTCCGCCCCAAAACGGAAAATGGACAGGGCAGGATAATTATCAACGGAAAATGGGCCGGGATCCCGCTTGGCTTCCGAATATGCCCAGGTCCAAGTCCCACTAGCAGAGCGTTGAGCTACCTCAACGCCTGAATCTGGATGCTTTTGCGGAGATGTGCAGAAATTGTGCTGAGTTTCCTCAACTGCAAGTCTCCACAAACACGTCCAGATTCAGGCGTTGAGCTAGCTCAACGCTGCTAGTGGGACTTGGCCTGGAACTGGGAATTTTCAAATTTGTAGTTGGAAATTTCAAATGTGTAATGGGACATTTAAAAAGAATGCTTTTTTTTTTTTTTTTTTTTTTTTTTCTGAAAACACGGCCCCAGTGCCCAAGGCTTATATTTCCATAAAACAATTTGAGCCCCGGGTCCTCACATGCTACTCGGATGGCTGGGAGCATTACCCAGTTTCTCCCGAGGGGACCAACCCCCTGGGCCGAGGTCCCACTAGCAAAGAGGATAGGATCAAGCTCCTGAATCTGGATGTGTTTTATGCACAGATGCCCAAAGAAGTTCAATCTCGCTTTCGTGCACCTTTGCTCAAACACGTCCAGATTCAGGCATTCGATCCTATCCTCTGTGCTAGTGGGACCACGCCCCAGGATAGTGGGCTTGCAATGCGGTTTTTCGGGAAAAAAAAAGAAAAAAAAAAAAAAAGTTTCGTCCGGAAGTTATGACCGTCGGCCCTACCGGACAGAACAGCAGGTCGGCGCTGGCTGTTTGGCAAAGCTTGGCGCGCCCTGGAGAGAATTATGCAGAGTCTCAAACAAAGATGCCAATGAGGAGGAGGAGACTCAGTGACAGGTCAAGGAGGATAGGGAAGACAAAGAGGAGGTGATGGTCAGGGGAAACTGACAAAGAAAAGAATGAACAAAAGAGAAGAATGAACGAAGGAAAAGAAGGGGCGAAGGGCCTCGTTCCACACCACTTGAAAATACTTGAGCTTCAAGTGCACACTAAACGAGAAATTGTGATTAATTTACACTTACTCGATTTATTGTTCCATGTACACTTGAGGAAACCCGCACTTGAAACAGAACTGCACGGCTTGACCAATCCTGTACCAGGATAGCCCGCTGGAAAAGAAAAAAAAAAGAAAGAAAGAAAAGCCCCACTTGGAGTGCTGGCAGTATCCTCTGGCACTTGAATCGCACTTGAACTCAAGGCTCCCCAGAGAGGTACTTTGACTTCAAGTGTGATTCTGCCCCGGCCGCACTTGAGTTTCGAGGGCTAGGACTAGAGAGCCCGAAAGTAGAAACAACTCCGCGGCCGAACGAAGAATCAAGTGGTGCCGAACAACGCCCTATGTCCAACTATGGGGGGATGAGACTTCGTTTGGATTCTCGAGTATGCCAAGTCCCACTTACCCGAATGATCAATTTCTGACCACAGATTTGAAAGATCAACGACCAGAAATCAAGGATCGCCGTAAGTGGGACTTGGCCCCCGGTCTGAGAATCTCGTGGCCGAATGCGTGGTTGTACGTTCGTCGCTGAGGAGCATTACATCTGTGGATGGTCCTCCCTTTCCATTCATCTCCTTGTGTGTGTGTGTGTGTGTGTGTGTGTGTGTGTGTGTTTTGCTCCACTTTATTGGTGGGGAGCAACACCTGCTAAAAACCGGGTCCAGCGTCCCATAATACATAAAATTGACCTATGTTTGTGGAGCCCTGGTCTGCTTCTTTATCTCTGCATAAAAGACATCCAGACATCCATACTTCAGATGCTACTGCCAGCATTGACTACCCCAGAAAGCTGGGGGGTTGAACCACCAGTACTTCCTAAAGTAGTGCCCGTTAATGCTACGCGATTTTAGGAAACGTACGGGCCACTACAGGAGCGCCCCAATTCATCCAACTAGAAATGTTTCTACTCTTTTTTTTATTCCCCGTGGCCTATAGCTGGGCCGAGTACTGGTGGTTTAACTGAGCAGTAGATAATAATTGCAGTAATGGGGGAACACCACGTGTTTGCTTTTCTTGGTGAGTGTTTTTTTATTTTTATTTTTTTTTGTTTAAGGGCGACGAGTCGACGACCTGAAGATATCATCATTGAACTGTCCAGCCCCAGGTAATTCAGAGTGGTTTGTATTCTGGTCATCTGATTGTATCTGGATGCGAACTTGGGTCTGTATTTTAGCAGTTTGTGGGTGTACCAACTGAGCTAGGCCCGTTGGTTTCTCTCTTGTTTGCGCTTTTTTTCCCTGCAGCTCCCTCGGTATCGCTTGCTTGCTTGGCTTGATGAGAGAAGAACATGACAGAACGAGAGAGAAGCAGACCAAGGCTCACCAAGCTTGCAGAGCGAACTCCATCGCAGGGGACGAGAAGGGAAGGGAGCAGATTAAACTCCATCGCTGTTGAGAGCCATAACCACTGTGATGTTCAGTCAGACTAGAGGAGGTGGGGTGTAATCACCAGCAAGAGATTGTTTTTTGGGCCTTTGCCCCCCCATCAAGAAGGCACTGTCGTCACTGTGATATCCAGCCAGACTAGAGAGGGTATGATCAATCTTCAAGGTTGATTGATTGAGTGATTGATAGATTGATGGGAGGGACGGAACGGTGAGCGTCAGTCTTGGCATGAGGATATGAGAAACATACAACCAATCAAGATACTAAGATACTTTTATCACGCATGCACCACATTTGAGCCCCAAGAGAGATGCAGGAGGACACATTCAGAAGCGAAGAATGCTCACTGCAAAAAAAACCATCCACGCAGGGCGCACGGCGTAATCGCAACACAAGGTTGTACTTCCTATGGAAACCTTGCAAATAACCACATTTGACAGTATGTGAAGAGAAGCCATGCTGCCTGCACCTTTGGCCCTGTGCATGCACCCCTTTGCTTTGCGTTTCCCTCCTCTTCACCCACACACACACACAAACCCCCCCCCCTCTCTTCCCTTTCCCTCCCCCCACCCATTCTTTTTATTTATTCATTCAAATCTGCAGTTTCAGACAGACAGTGACAGTATTTCTTGCCTAACCAGAAACAGAGGCGCGGCCGAGGTATTGGTGGGTTAATAATAATGACATTCTGTAAAATCTGAGAGTCATTTTTCACAGTACGAGATCGGCCGTCATTTCTATTCTACCCATTCGGGCCTCCGATCGGATTTCCCTATGTCTGATGTGATGTTTGTGTGTTTCACGGCATGGCCTCATAAACCACCAGTACTTACTTTTTTTTTTTTTTTGAACTTCACGGCCTGGAGACCTGCTTAACGAGGTGATAAGAGCATCCTCCTTAAGCAGGCCCCAGTTTTAAAGGCTCCGTCTATTGGTGGGCAGCATCGCCTGCTGGACATCGGGTCCAGCGTCCCTATACATTTTTACTATTTTTAGTATTTGAATGAAAACAGTCATTGTGTGCAAAAATTATGTGCGCCTTGTGTATGCCCTAGCTCTTAGTGCCCTTGTAAGCCATAGCCAGTGATGCCTGTTTTTTTTTTTTTTTTTTTTTTTTTTTTTTTTCCCAGAACAACCCGAGGTAGTGGTGGGGGTGCTGATAAGAGCAGACACCTCAGTGATGCCTGTTTTGACTGCTGTATATTATACCTGTTTTAAACCACCAGTACCTCGCCCAGCTATTAAAAAAAGTTCCGGCCGTTAACGCGCCGCGACTTTCGGGGGTCGGGGAGTTGAAGGACCGGTAGGAGCTCTTTCTCTTTAGTAAATAAGATAAACCAAAAAAAAAAAGAATGAGATACTACTTGAAAAAACAAGAAAAGAAAAAAGAAAAAGGAACAACAAAATTGTTGGGCGCGGGGAGGGTTCTCTCTCTCTCTCTCTCTCTCTCTCTCTCTCTCTCTCTCTCTCTCTCTCT